TTTTGAAATTTTGACTAAAATTACCGATTTTTGGACAGTTTTGTATGGGAGGTACCCGTTAATCGATTCTGATTGGCTTCAAACTTTCTGAGGTTTCATTTCTTGGAGAAAAAATAAGATTCTGAAAGTTTCATGTTGATCGCATGTGCAGAAGTTTGGTTTTTGGCGCTCAATTTTTTCCAAGAAAATTTCGACAAAAATTGAGGACAAAAAATCAAACTTCTGCAAATGCGATCAACATGAAACTTTCAGAATCTTATTTTTTCTCCAAAAAATGAAACCTCAGAAAGTTTGAAGCCAATAGGAATCGGTTTACGGGTACCTCTCATACAAAATTGTCGAAGTTTTAGTTAAAGTGACCGATTTTTCACTTTATTTTTATTATTATATTTTCGCTGCCTATATTTCAAGAAAATTCACAAAAAATAACCAAAACTACCTACACACAACGCTGGCCAACGGTACGGAAAAGTTCGGGATTACCAATGTAATTCTTTTTATTTTCTTAAAACTTCAGTCGATACGGATTGAACACGATACGGATGCTCAATTCAATCGCTTTTGGAGTTTACAATGATGAAAACAGAAAGTTGCTCATCGAAATCTCAGCAAAGTTTATTTTATGCTTCAGTGCGACAACTAGTTTTTACATTGCAGAAAATTATTCGAAATTAGTTAGGTAAACATTTTATTTGTTTTAAGTTAGGTAGACATTAAGACTGACAATCACCAGGGAAAAAAACTACGAAGTGTTCATCGCTCAATCTCGACCGATTTTCACGTTAGTTTTGTGTATTTGAAATTGTTCTTGAAATTGACTAAAATTGGTTTACTTTTAATATCACAGATATAAAATCGATATGATGAAGTTTAATCATTGCTTCGAATAGTATTAGCACTTGAAAAAACAAGAAACATCACGTTGCCAACGGCCCTCGGTCATTTGAATTCGAAAATCGTTCTTTTTCATGTATGTACTCAAACACTAAAACTGATTGAAATGTCAATACTATTGACTCAACACCGTGTATGGTGTACCAAGGTACAACTCGTTATTCTGTACACGTTCGTTTCGCATGCAACTGTTCCGTTCGCACCGTTTTATGAAGTGCTTTTAGTAAATATTTCGTTTTAGCTCATTTTTATGTGTCGCTTTTTATTTCTCTAATAAAACAAAGCTCTTTTTATTGGTTATTATCAATATCGGAAGTATAATTCGATGTAATATGTTTCGAGTGAAGTTCTGAGTGTCCAGCCGCAGCGGTTGTTTCAATCACATTTCTGTTTGATGGTATGGCATTTGTTCAACAACTTTAACTTTTTCTTCAAGATTTTTTTTTTCCTCATAAATCAATTTATGCAAAAGAATGCAATAATTTGATGAACAACACTTGCCCATTTGTGCAGTTCCAAATCCCAAATCGCCAGCTTTTAATTAAAAAAATAAGCAGTTAGAAAATAGACCACTGGACGCGTGGATTCAAAGTTTCATTAAATGTGTAGAGTCTACACTGTAGACTCAATTCTTGGGGAAATGGTTTTCCAGGAAAATGCCCGACTGCCTCTATATCTTGGTTTTCGTAATGTCACGCTCACAGATATATCATCCAATGTTGTTTTAAGCACGAAATCAGACTACAAAATGTCAATTGCTAGCATGGTATGCAATAAGATTGATTTTCAATAACCTATTTACATTTATACTCCACTCAAAATGTACGAAACTTCTATCCCGGTATTTAACAACTTGAAATGGAAGCTAAAAACATAGATTTTGAATTTTTTTTACTCATATCACAATGGATGGATTCTGCACGTTTTTGTTTGTTGGAGTTATCGGTATTGCAATTTGCGATGCATTTCGATCTTTGAATGTCAAACTATTTGATGTTCAATTTTCTCTTTCTCTGAACTAACTAACCGATCAATTGTCTCGCAAAATACGATTTTCATGTATGATTCATATGTTTCCCCGTTTTTATATAGAACTATATAGTTAGCACTTTTGTTAGGTTTGTTCGGTTTTGTGCTGCATAAAGTTCTGGTCATTGGTTTGCGGTGTATTTTGTTTGAAGCATTTTCCCTTGAATTGCAGCAATTGCGTGCGATCATCGACACGCATGTGGTCAATATTTATCGATTAAGTCAGCTCAAGTATTTATATATCTGTTTTGCCGACTGATTTTCTTTTTTTACTTTCGAGGCGATAAATGTTTCACATTTGGTATTTGCGTGCAAAATGACGAACACCAGCCAGTATGGATAGAACGTGCAATAAATTACAATATGTGACCAATATGACAAATGAAATTGACAGCACGAAAGGCCATTGCGTTCAATATATTTGCCTTTCAGCAACCCTCTGAACGCGGCCCCAAAATAGATGACATTTTGATCGGTACAGGATAATTATTGAGGAAATGCCGGAGAGGGGAGGTGGTGAGGCGATAGATGGTATCTAGTAGATAGAGGAAAAAAGCACGGTGGATGGGAAATACAAGTGAGAGAGTAAGAAAGAGGAGAGAGGAAGAGGAAAGAGTAGAAGGCCGAACCGAAGTAGTAATAAACTTTTTTGAGATATTGGATTCGTTGGAAACTCGTCGAAAACCTGGTCTAGACTCAAGGCCATATGAACATGGCAAAATACGGCCTATCAAATGAAAACCCTTTTCATCTATTCCAATCGAAAAATGTAGTGACCGCACATGTTTGATGAAACCTCCTGAAATATAATAGATTACAATCTTAAGAAATGGAAATCGAAAGGCTGATTGCAAATTTGTAAAAATGTCAAGCGAATGAATGAAATGGGAAAATATGGCAGGAAGCGATGTTTTGCCTCTTTATTTAAACCACTTTTATCGTGGATATTGCAAGACTTACATCTTCTCATGAGATACACGATTTAATCTTTGAGCTGAACACTTGACATAAACCAATAAGCGAAAAACGTGCAGAAACACTCTTCCCCCGCTCTTCTCCGAAAATAAAACTGGGACACATCAAAATGTCACCAATAATGGCACACACACAAATTGAACAACCGTCGTAAATATTCGGATTCACCGACATTCCGATGAAAACATGTTGAACAGCCCGATCGAATGAATTCAAATGACAGTTTATTGATACGATATTGGCATGGAACAAAGTATTCGAGTGAAGTGAAGGTTTGCTAACAGGTGATTGTGCTAGAAAGTAGTAGTTTCACTAGTGGGAAAAATGCCTACCGCTTCTAAGAAAGGAAATGGAATGGAATTGAATTAATTTAGAATAATTGTGAAGTAATTCAAATGGAATACTGCAAAATTATGGAATTGTCATTATTTTTATTGTTTATTCATCAAAATCGTTGTCAATTATTAACAATGGTGTTAGAAATTCCAAAAATGTCTGTTTTCAATCGTTGTACAATCGTTGAATCGCATTTACATCATCTTCACACAACCTTAAAACACCATTATAAGTGGGGAACATAACACCTAGTGGAGCAAATGAATGATCAAGACCGAGCGCATGTCCAATCTGAAAGTTAACAGTATGATATGAAATATCAATTGTAATTGTTGATTCCACTTTACATCTCTACTGGTCTCACCTCATGTGTTAAAGTATGTAACAGACTGACGTAGCCTGTGGAAATAAGAATCAAATTTATTAATTCAAAAATGACGAATAGCTCGAGAATTAAGCAGAGAAATGCAGGGGGATTACAGATTGACAGTTGATCTACATGATATATACTGAATGAATAGCGTGTGTGCTTGTGTTTCAATCTACAAACCCCCTGGAGAAATGCATTTTAAATACACAGTAAACACGATGGTTCTAACTTTTGGAACCGCAATATGAAATTTGGCACTAAAATCCATTTGAGTACCATTTGTACTAGAAAAAGTTAAAAATGCACTAAATCAAAAATCAAAGCTTCATGTATTTATTATAGAACTTTTTCTAGAGCAAATGGTACTAAAACAAAGTTATGTGTCAAATCATTGTGTTTACTGTGTACGTGAAATTGAACCACGATGCAATCGCAAACAGCAAACGAAATTGAATTTTGACGATTCAAACGGTAGCCGTCGAGGGGCCGATCACTCTAAAATATTACGTTTTTTTTGGTATGTATTATATTTAAGTGATGTCCCCTTTGGTAGCCGTTATTTTATTTTTATTTTTTATTAAACACATTGTTATGTATGAAGCTCAAAGTGTGTCATTTTCAAATGAATAAACATCGATTTACCCTTTTTGCGCTTCATCTCAAATGTCCAAGTTTCGTCCAAGTCCATATGAATCGCCGTTCTGTCGTCTTTTGTTGGAAATGTATGACCCAATACACCTCCTGGACCATCAAATGGGAAGCGATCACCATGATATCGACTAAACAATGAGCATGATTAATTCTATTTTTTTGCTGAAACTTCAGAATTTCGTCAATATTCGAATGATTCGAACTCAAATGATGAATGGCTGTTTCCAACCGAGCCCAAATCAGTCGAATCGGTTTTTTGCTGAATTGTTTTCGATACAAATTCAAGTAACATTTTAACTAAAGATGAAAATTTCGTCACGAAATAAACTCAATAATGATGAATCGATAATAATGTTACGAAAGAACGCTTCTCACCTCACGAATTTAATCCAAATGTCCGCTGCCCAAAAGTAGGGATTTCTTCGAAATGTCAACGGTGCTACATCAGACCACATTGAAAATGCCTTTTTTACTATTTCATGTGTATCCTGGTTACGCGAATCGCCAGGTGGCCAAGCCAGTTGAAACCTTCGAAACGTAATTTTTTTTTATAAATTAGAATAAAATATGATGGATTTTTTTGTTCAAACTACAATACCAATAAGTTATGTTCTTTTTTGTCCACTTGTCACCGGTGTATGAGTATCGTCGAATACGGCGTTTCGTTTGATTGAATGGCAACGGATCAGTCATAGTCGCTCGAATCACTTCACATGTTTCATGATTTGTGTACCCGGTCTCATTTTTTTTATGATTTTTTTGCACATTCAGAATGGAAATCTGCAACACTTTGTCGGATGGTTGCTTTGCACTTGCCACAAACTCATGTCTCATCAAATAACAATTTTTGAACATATATTCTATCTGTTTTGCGGTGAAAATAAAAATATTATTACTGATAATAATGACATCATGCATATTGCAAAATAATTAGTCTTATCAAAGTGAAGAAATTGAACATGTTCATCACAATTTTCATTAAAGCCATCATTTTGATACGTTCAATGAATACAGAATTCTTTTTACTTGGAAAATAAATTGAAAACAAAATGAAACTAATTATAATTTTTCCGACAAAAATTCTCCATTCTGTCGACACTTCTTACCATTTGATCTTTGGGAACATTGACGCATTGAAGTCCAGCGTCATCATCATCACTAAGAACATAGTTTTTTGAAGTCAATAGCGTCAATGCAACAATAACGTAGATATTCAATAAATTCCGTTGAATAGTACATTTTTTCAGTAGCATTTTGTTTGTGTAATTATTACAAAATCACAATGTTTTCTCAATCAAAAGTTTACCCGAGATTCAATTCAAACTAATCAGAAGAGTAAAACAAGGTAAAACAGTAGAAAAAGCACTTGAATTCCTTTTCTATTCGAAACTTCAAATTCTACGATGAAATATGCAATAAATACGAGCTATATAAAGTTAAACGCAATCAACGGACATGTGATTACTGAATAAAATGAGCTGAAGTCAAAGCATATCTCTCGCCCACGCACAACCTACAAAAATAGCGTGAAATTCGTGAAAGAAATATGAATCGCTTTATTCCGCTGCCAAAATGCTCTCACTTATCGTCTATTTCCGGTATTGCGCCGATTCGCAATTGCATCTTGAACATTCTTCGTCATAATCATTTGCCTCATTCCTCAGATAACAGTTTCTTTTTAAATCTCAAAATGAGGCCATTTCTCTTGATGCCGTCATTGTGTTGGCACAATGCATTGAAATTTGATGAATGTTTAGTGCCCAATCAGGACTAAAATAAGGTGTCCAATTTGGTATAATTACACCCAAACTCAGCCCATGTACTTCGAATTTATGAATGTGTTTTGTTCCGAATTGGAACTTTCAATGGGCTACAGGCTTACCAAGTTAAGCCTAACAAGAAAAAAGTCTACGGTACATTTACATCAAGTGGGGTGGTTTTTCCAAAAAATTCGATTATTCACTGTATTCTGATCAAGCTGACGACACTTCAGTACAAACATCATTTGAGCGCTCGCAGCGCCACGAACTCTCGTATCATTTTGTATTGACTTTTCGATAGTTCATGAGTTCGCCGTAGACTTCGTCAAAACGTGTCGTCCCTTTGATTCTGATGCGTGTGCGTAGGTTTACCACTTTCTTATCATTCTCTATTCAATATCGGCTGACAACACTGAACGCCATGAGGTGCAGCTGATTTCAATTGGTAATGGTAGTTTTTATTGTAACAAAGGCAAAACATGTTCGAAAATTGGCGAATTCAAAGCATTTTCGACCACTGGAATTCAAATCGTGCAGAAGATCGATAAAATGTTTCTTCGGCAATGTTATATAACATACATATAGTATTTATAGTATTTGACAGTCCTAACAACTTTATTGCAAAGCCCACCAGATTCATATGAAAGTCCTCTGTGTTTTCCCCAACGATAAACCAACAAAACAAAACGGTCAAAAATGTTTCTATTGTATAATTCGATTTTCTGTGTTTAGTCAAAGATATTAAGCCATTTGTACGAAACAGTCAAATCACATTCACGTGAATAAAAACAAAAGTGCTTGAAAATCGATACCAATTTCCTAAGAGCATAACGAAAACGGTTGTTTAATGTTATCGGGACGCATAATGCCAAACTGTTGTTGAATTCGAATGAGACACAATGTGTTTGTGTGAGCAGTGAGCACTGGAAAAAAAAGCCATTCAATGAGCAATGAACTTTGTCGCAATTGCACCTTCATCTACTTGCCAATTTAATTCCGGTTGACTGAATTACAAGCCATGCTAAATAGATTGTAGAAAAAAAACACGTACACGTTCTGGGTGGTGACAGAGGGTTCATGCGAATCATAAAAATAACAATGAAATTGTCGTGTGGCAGGTATATTGACGATCTACTGCTGCTGCTGGTGTGTACGTGTGTGTGTGTTTTTTTTTATTCCTATCTACATCATGTTTGCAAACGGGAGTCATTGAATCAAGGTCACAAAATGCAATGTTCTTGCCGTTTGGCAAATGTTCTGGCAAACGTAAAGAAAAAAAAAACGGAAAATTGAACATTTTCTTGTTTAATTGTTTGAATTGTGAGATCGTTTTCAGTCGTCCGTTATTAAATACGTACTTGATTAAATTGTTCACCCAAATCATAATAAACGCTTATTTTTCACGATTCGTTTTTCTCGCCGCTTTTTTTTGCTCGGCTCTCTCTCTCTTATATGTGTGGCTCCAAAATATGGACAAGAAAAGCGGAGGAAGAAAGGGAAAAAAAGACAGAAACGAAGAAAGGGAGAAAAGAAAAAAAAGGTGGTGCACATTATAGTCAAATAATTCCATGAAATGGAACGTAATTTTTTTCGTTCGTTCAAGTCAAAATGTCGGTATTTTAACTGCTTAACTGCTTCGTCACCATCGATCGAACTACTGTTCGGAACTGTTTTCATTATGTGTGTTTTCTTCTTCTTCTCTCTAATTTCGGCGGTTGGCGTTAAAATTCAATTATTATTGTCGAAATATTCGTTTTGCACTCAGGTCCGCGTCCAAGTGTGATGGTTCATGTATAATATTTTTTTCTGTTGTTTGCTTAAGTAATTATAATTACTTGAAAAGCATTACATATTTCCTCGTTTTTTCTTTTCTTCAACAAAACGGTCTTTCGGAATTGCTTTGCGACTCCAATAAAGAAAAAAGCAACAGTTCACGAATGGAAGACCTCATTTTCGGCAATGGCAAGTGTCAAATCGCTAGCCATCTGTTCCATAAGTAAAAAATAATAACGAAATGGAAATAGAAGAAATTGCAAGAGCCAGAATGAACAAAAAAAACAACCCACACAAGTGTGCAGAAAAAAATAGTGTATGGAAAATCAGGCGAGCGTGGATAAAGAGCTGAAATGCTGGCTGTGTGTGTGTGTGTGTGTGTGTGTGTGTGTGTGTGTGTGTGTGTGT